TCAGCTCTTGAGCAACATCCTGGTTTTCAGTTGGCAACGCAAGTGTTTGCGGTGGGGAAACAGTGAACAGGAGCATAGGAAGCTGCCTTAAGAAAGTAAGAAGTGTCCTGATGGATCAGGCCAATGGCCCATCTAGCCCAGCATCCTGTTCTCACAGTGGCCAACCTGAGCACAGGAGCACTCTCCCCTCTGTGGTTTCCAGCAAATTGGATTCAGAAGAATTACTGTGACCCTCACCCACTTTCTCCACACCATGCTTATTTCTAATGAGCTTCTATCATGTAGCCTCTTGCTTGCATTTTTGTTAAACCAAAGAGTCCCAAATAGTGCAACCTTTCCTCATATGGGGGTCGCTCCATCCCAGATCATTCTGGTTGCCTTCATGCCCAGTCAAAACTGAGCTAGGCTGGCAGTGGCTCTCCAGGCTTCAGACATTCCTGGAAATGCTGGAGATTGAACCTGAGACCATCAGCATGCAAAGCAGAAGCTGTACCACTGAGCTATGCTCCTTTCCCAGTACAGGGGCACAGGAAGCTGCCTTAGGCTGAGCCAGACCAGATGCTCTGCTCCCTAAACCACAACACTTTCCCCACTCAACAGGTCCTGGAAAATCTCCAAGCAGCTCAGCCCTACCACAGGCATGTTGCAAGGTCAATTCTGCTCTGAGCTGAAGGAGATGCGGCAATGGGGAAGGGAAATCCGATCATTTCCTTCACATCACACCTGATACCAGCATTGTTATCAAACCGGAAGCATGTCACTCAGCCCTGCACAGACAGAAGCTTTAAGCCCTCCTGTGAAGCTTCCTGGAGTGAGAGCAAAGGAAGTGCAGTTTCAGCAAGCTCAAAATACTCATTCTAAAAATGCTCACCCAAATTTGCACCAGGAAAGAAGTCTTGCTGCAATGACACAAAAGTGCACCAGATGCACTCGGCTACATCCTCTGAAGAAACCCAACATGAGCTGGGCAGCTGTTCTAGGGCTAGTATCTCAGCAAGGAGCAAAATGGGGGAATCTCAATGTGATCTATGAACAAGGACTGAGCATCAGAATTCATGTTGCACTACAAGCTGGCATACTTGTTGCAAGTGTGACAAGCATCAAATGTCACTCTCATAGTCAATCCACCTTGGAAGTCACACACATTGCTTTCAACCTGGATGACACCCTGCCTCTCCTTCCCTACTTTTTAAGATGTTAAAAAATTTGGCTCGAGTATCCTGCCACACAACTCCCTGGAAGCTACCTTAATCTAATATAGGTCACATCCATACCATATATTTAAAGCACTCTTATGCCACTTCCAACAGTCGCTGCTTCTTCCCAAGAATCCTGGGACCCGGAGATTAAGGGTGCTGGGAACTGTAGCTCTGTTAGAAGTCTAACAGCTCTCAGCACTCTTAGCAAACTTCTGTCCCCAGCATTTTACGGAGGAAGCCACAGGTGTTTTTTTACTATCATGGTGCTTTAAACATAAGATCTAAGAATGTGACCTAAGGAAACATCAGAATACAGACAATGTGGTATGCTAATTGTTTGTGCCCCCCCCCAACAATTATATCTGCTCCCTGCAAACATCTAGCTCAGAATTGCCCAAACTCATTGCCCACAACTTTCCAAAGTTTCAGGAAAGATTCTTTCCCAGTCCTACCTGGAAATGCCTGGGATTGAAGCACGGACCTTTTGGGTGCAAAAATGCACAGCTCAACTAAGCTACAGCCCCATCAATTAAAAGGCCATGCAAGAGAGCCGTGTCTTTGAGAATCTGTTTAATGTGACCAGTATAGCTGGGTGGAAGAGGCCTACTATCAACAGACCTGCCAGCTCAGGTGTATGTACCCTGGATGCAGCATTGTCACCAGAAGCCTAGGTAGACTCGGTGTCACAGGTCTGTTTTTCTAGCTTTGGCTGTGTCACTATTTCTGGACAGGTGTACTCTCATGGTCTAGCAACCTCTCCAATTGGATTACTGCGATATTTTGCTACAGGGGCTGCCCTTGAAGACCACTCGGGAACTTCAATTAATGCAGAATGTGGCTGCCTGAACTTTTAATTCCTATATAATCCCTTTTAAGCTAGTGGCCACCGACTCCCACTAACAAAAACAACACTTGCTTCTGAATGAACATGCTTAGAATCATACTGTCAATTATGCCTCGTGTGAAAAAGTAGGCTATGTTTTGAGAGCCCTGAACTCATTCAAATGATCCTGAATTTTAGATTTATAAAAGGAACGTTGCTCTGTATGTGTGTGTGTGTGCATTTGTAATTCTGTGAATTTATGTGGCGCGCCCTCTTTCCATTTCTAAACCAGGGTTGAGGAACCTGTACCCTTTCTAGATATTGCTGAACAACAGCTCCCATGGGCCCCAAATATTGATCACGCTGGTTGCAGCTGATGGGAGTTGTGGTTCAGAAACATGTGGAGGTCCACAGCTTAGCCACCCCTGTTCTAAACTTAAGTGACCCTTTATTTGCAAGTACAGTGCTCTAACGACCCCTTGACAATCTGGAGCTGCACAGCAAGGTTTATCACTTTGTTTAAAGTGCTCTTAGGACAGAGCTCTCCACCCCAAAATACTACGGCAATATGTCTTAATAATACCCTTTGTATTCATGCAGCAAGGAGTTCCACAGCTCTGTGACTCTATCTTCAAAAAAATGATAAAGCTTCCCTTTCAAATTGCAAAGTCCTGTTGATTGCAAGATTGTACACTTTCGGTATTTAAATTTTTTTTGATATATCTCACTGCAATGTGTTTTTTAAATGGCTGACATTAGCTGGGGCTGGAGTGTTGTAGAAATCATCCTACCTGAAGTGGTAACTAAGAGGTGGGTGTGAAGAGATGAAAAATTGCACAGGCTTTTTGTTTTTTGTTTGTTTTTTAAAAAGAACAAGAAAAAAAAATCCATGTTCATAAGAATGTATGGCCACAAGAGCCTGCTGGATTAGGCCAATAGCCTATCTAGTCCAGCATCCTGTTTTTACAGCAGTCGCCCAGATGCCCCAATGGAAAACGCTCAAGCAGAACCCAATCACAACTCCTCTCCTGTGGTATTCAGAAGCACTGCTGCATCTGACTGTGGAAGAAGAACTCACTGGCAGTCTTATTCTCTATGAATATGTCCAACCTTCTTAAGGCCACCCGAGCTAATGGCCACCAGTGCCTCCAGTGGGAGCAAGCTCCCTAATTTAATTATGCGCTGCATGAAAAAACACTTGGCTTTTATCCGTTCTGAATCTTCCAATGTTCAACTTCAATGCGGACTTGATGGTCTTAACCATGGGTAGGCAAACTAAGGCCCGGGGGCCGGATCTGGCTCAATCGCCTTCTAAATCCGGCCTGCGGACGGTCCGGGACTCTGTGTTTTTGCATGAGTAGAATGTGTGCTTTTATTTAAAATGCATCTCTGGGTTATTTGTGGGGCATAGGAATTCGTTCATTTCCCCCCTTCCAAAATATAGTCCGGCCCCCCACAAGGTCTGGGGGACAGTGGACCGGCCCCCTGCTGAAAAAGTTTGCTGACCCCTGGTCTTAACACTAAGGTAGTAGGTTCCCTCTGGCCTCCCTCTCTACTTTGCTTGACAACTAGCTCACAGATAAGGGAGCTGTGACCCTCCAGGTGGACTCCAATACCCATTACTCCCTGACCCGTGGCAATGTTGGCTGGGGCTGATGGGAGCTGGAGTCCAGCAACATCTAGAGGACCACATGTTCTCCAAACCATGACCTCGCCTGGAGAACTCAAGAGCTCACTCACAAGGATGTGACTTTTGTATTCACCTCATAAATGTATTGTCCTATGGATCTGTCTTATGTTACCTTACTTTTTAAACAGGAAGAAACACACAATACATTTAAAGCACATTCAAGCCTGTGACACCCTCCTCAAAGGATCCTGGGAACTGTAGTTTGTCAAGTGTGCTGGGAATCGTGAGGGGAAAACTACAGTCCCCAGGCTCTCTGTTAAATGTGCTTGAACCATATGCTGTGGCTCTGCCCAGAAACACACCCTACCAAGAAGACAGTGGATGACAGGTTTAACCCTTGTATTAAACCTGTCATCATGTGTGTAGAGAGATTCTCATCAAAGGACTGGGAAATCAGCTGCCAATCAAAGCAGGGCGCACCAGCCAAGGCCAAGCAGTCAACAGTTCAACCCAGTATACAGTGGTGCTTCACAAAGTCGACAAATGGCAGGGTGGTACCAGCTGGTAGCCAGAGGGTTATAAATACCTAGCCAAAGCATCACGTGACATATTGAATAACATGGGCTGTTGTATCCAATGCTAGGCCTACTCAGAGTAGACCCAGTGGAAACAACAGACCTGATTAAGCCATGGTTATTCGTTTCAGTAGGTTTACTCTGAGTAGGTCTAGCCCCACGGCATGTGCCTGGCTGGATTTCCACTGATTGGTTAGAATCTACTGATTGTTTGGGATATATACTTATAGTTTCCCCTGGATCAGGAGATGGACAAGGGATGGGAAGAGATATTTAGGCTGAAGGCCAGTCCATTGTTATGAATCCTTACCAGGAAATCATTTATTTCTTCCTTAAACCAAGACCCATTCTCAGGCTCCCAGAGGATTTCGAACAAGGGAAAGCTGTGTCCACACAATGAAAGGAAGCGGCTGAGGGATGCCCCCACCATCACTAGCACCCTAGAGCACGTTTTGTTGTTTGTTTGTCGGCTTGTTTTAAGTACCTCCCCCCCTCTCAATCCAGGAGAAGCATCCTATCTATTGCGGAGGAAGCCCCGCTTACAACAAAAGGCACCCCTGCAACACAAGGTGTGTGTAGGGTTTGGAGGTCACAAAACCAAAAGGTGAGGTGGGGAGGGGGAAAAGGAAGCAATGCAAAGCCCTCACCCCCAGGGAGAAAAGAGAAGCAGGGTAAGGAGAAGGCGCAGGGCCCAGTACGGAGTGGGGGGTAAAGGGGGTGGGTGGGCCAGCCGGGCCTGGCCCCGAAGGCTCCTTGGAGGGGAGACACTTAACTGTTGCCCGGGGCGCTGGCGGCGGCTGATCCCGGCTCCCCCGTTTCAAGCAGAAGCAGCTTCTCATTGCCCGGCAGGGCGGGGAGCGGAGGCAGGAACAGGAGGAGGAGGAGAAGCGGAGAAGCAGCGGCAAGTGGGAAGGAGAGGCGGCCCTCTCAGGGCCCGCAGGCGGCGGCGGCGATCCTTACCCGGGCGGGCGCGCTAGACCGAGCCCCCGCTCCCCAACAGCCCGTTGCACCGAGCGCAGGAGCCCATCAGGAGCCGAGGCCGCCGGCGGGAGCCATGGGCGAGGGCGGAGGAAGGCGGCCGAGTCGAGCCTGGCGCCGCCTCTGAGGCGCTCCGACGAGGAGGAGAAGACACCGGCGCCGCGGCGCAAGCACAGAGCCCCCTGCCTCCCGGAGCCCGCACTGCCGCTCGCTCTGCTTTCTCGATTCACCTCCCAAGCACCCTGACCGGCCCAGAGAGAATGAATGGGCGAGCCTGGCCCCCGCCCCGAACGAGCCTCCTGCGTCCCAAGCGCAACCACCAGGGGCCCCTCGGAGACTTACGCTTTGCGCCCAGGGCGCACGCCCAGGCAGCCCTTCCCAAATGGAATCCTTTGGCCTCGTCGTCTCCACCACGCCGAGGCCTCCCGTAGAGTTGCCGTTTAAAAATACAGTAAAATTAAAAATCACGCCCGCCCTCTTTACTACCTTGGGGGAGGCTCCCGATAGAGCGAGGTGCCCCTAGCCGAACGCCTTGTTCTCGCTTCCCTACGCACGGCGTGCACGTGGTTGAACCCTAGGCGTCTCCTGGTGGTGGGGGAGAAGAGCCCCAGGGTGGCACCTGGCGAACACGAGAGCTAGAGGTGCCTCTTCGGCTGCAATCCTATACAGCTTTGGCTCAGGAGCGCATATACAGCTTCCCAGCGCAGGAGGCAGTAATGCTTCTGAATAGCAGCTGCTGGGCACCGCGAGCGGAGAGAGTCGCTGTTGCGCGCGGGCCACGCTTTCAAACGTTCCATTAGCCTGTGAGTACAGGATGCCAGATTAGATGGGCCTTCGCCCTTTCTCAAGGCTGCTGCGCATCTTCATTGAGCGATCCACTGCTATCTCCAGACCTCCTTGGGCCGTCATCTCGATTTCAGACCCTAGCTGTTGCATATATGGAATTAGGAATTATTTATTTATTGCATTTATATCCCAGCTTTCCCTCCAGTTAGCTCAAGGTGGTGTGTGTGGTTCTCCCCCATTTTATCCTCACAAAAATGCCGTGAAGAGCGTTAGGCCCATAGCTGTCAACTTTTCCCTTTTCTTGCGAGGAATCCTATTCAGAATAAGGGAATTTCCCTTTAAAAAAGGGAAACGTTGACAGCTATGGTTAGGCCAGTGACCCGTCCTAATTCATCCAGGGTGCTTCATGACTGTATTGATCCTTGGTCTCCGAAGTCCTGGTCCAGCACACTTCACCAGTACACAACACTGCCCCAGTGTGTATCAGTTTACGCTTGCTTTTGCATCAAATTTCATTTGCCTTTTTGTTCCCTTTTCATCCAGTTTGAAGAGATCCTTTTAGAGTTCAATGTATCATCAGCAAATGTCATTGCATCTTGTAACAGTGAGTTCCATAGGGTGCTATTACCTTAAAATGTATTTATTTGCCATGTTTCCAAATTATTCTCAAAGTGGCTCACACAAACATATCTATACAGTGGCGAAGCTGCATGCTCCGCTACTGAGGGCGGAGAGCAGGCGGGGGTGTGACTGGCACCCCCCTGGGGGCGTGGTGTGCCGCCCATGGGCATGGCACACGTTCTGGGGACATGGTGCGCTGCCTTTGGGGTTGTGGCGCGTGTCCGGGGGAGCCGCTGTGATGGCACCGTACCAGAAGAGTGGTGCTGGGAGTGGTCCGCTCCGCACTCCCGTTCCTCTGCCAGTGTATCGATATATGCAGTGCTTTTTTTATTTATAGAAAAATGCCGGTATTCACCATGAAGTTGGTGACACACTTTTAACATGGGGGCGGGAGAGAGAAGTACTGTGTACCCTCGAGGACCGCCAGAAAAAACGCCACTGCATATATAATTTTTTTAAAAAACACCCTTACATTACTGCATTTAGTCCTGTATTAATTCACAAGGCCCTTAACCATTTGGATCCAGGATACTTCAAGGACTGCCCGATCCCTTTTATCCCTGGCCACTGAGGACTTGGGGGGAGCCAATGTTAGTGGTGCCTCCTGCCTCAGGTGCACCCCTTGAATTCACCAGGAGCCTTGCATTCAGTATTATGGGCAAGGATTTGTGAAACTCCTCCCAATTGAGATCAGACGGCCCTCACCCCGTTGAACTTCTGATGCCTACTGAAAACTTTATTTTTATTCCAACAGGCAGTTTAATCAATGTTTGATGTTATAGTTGTAAAGGTTGGTTTTTTGTTTTTGTTTTTTTTGGTGGGGATGCTTTGGATGGATCACCATGTCATGGATGCTTAGCATTTCAGGGGGTTGGACTAGATGACCCTTGGGATCCCAAGTCTACAGTTCTATTATTCTATTAATTGTTTTGAGTTATATATCATACGGAATTGTTTTGAATTGTTATTACATGTGGAATTGTTTTTATTGCTTTTATTTTTGATTTTTTTTATTGGAAAGGTATTTCATAGAATCGTAGAGTTGGAAGGGACCCCAAGGGTCATCTAGTCCAACCCCCTGCAATGAAGAAATCTCAGCTAAAGAATCCCTGACAGGTGGCCATGCAACCTCTGTTTAAAAGCTTCCAATGAAGGAGAGTTCATCACCTGAGGTAGTCCGTTTCATTGTCAAACACCTTTTCCAGAGTTTTTATGGGAAACTATTCATAAATGGCAGAGAGCAGGACGCGGGTGGCGCTGTGGGTAAAACCTCAGCGCCTAGGACTTGCCGATCGCATGGTCGGCGGTTCGAATCCCCATGGCGGGGTGCGCTCCCGTCGTTCGGTCCCAGCGCCTGCCAACCTAGCAGTTCGAAAGCCCCCTGGGTGCAAGTAGATAAATAGGGACCGCTTACTGGCGGGAAGGTAAACGGCGTTCCGTGTGCTGCGCTGGCTCGCCAGATGCCGCTGGTCACGCTGGCCACGTGACCCAGAAGTGTCTGCGGACAGCGCTGGCCCCCGGCCTCTAGAGTGAGATGGGCGCACAACCCTAGAGTCTGTCAAGACTGGCCCGTACAGGCAGGGGTACCTTTACCTTTACCTTTATTCATAAATGGAAGCAAATAAATAAAACAAGTAGTAGTTTAGTTGGTTTGCAGACAATAAATATCCGATATAATACAGGGTTATTAAGACAATCACAGCTGAACATAATATGCATGCACAAAGAATGTGCCTTTTAAAGAAAGAGCATAACAGATTCCACAATTTAAAACAGTTTAAAAGTACTGATATTTTGACTCAAAATAGCAATCCTAAAAATATCAAGCGTATATCATAATATTTAAATTTGTATTAGCAAGTACAGATTTTCCTTAAAGATGGAAAAACACTAATCTTTAGCTTTTTTAAAAAATCCACATTTGGATACAACCTCTCAGTAATTAATCCCAAATACGGGTGGTGAGTGTAGTCGAAAATGTGGAAGAAAAACCGAGGAGGTGTAGGTTTGGCCTCATGCAGCCAACCTTTCCTGCCAGTATTAGGAGCGCCAATCAGCACAGGCGGCAGCCGTGGAGACATCCAGCCTCACCTGGCTGAGGCAGGTACAAATAGTGGAGGGCAATGTGGTAGGAGGAGGATGGACCAAACACTGCTGAGGCTTCTCACCACTGATTCTGTTGTATGTGGGTGAAGGTCTGGTGGGGAAAATTATTTCTTTGGGGTTATTTCTTGTTTACTATTTGGGGTTTACCGTTTGGGGGGGGGGCGGTTTGTTGCTGTTTGAGGAGGTTTTCCTATTCTGTTAAAATGAAAATATATTTTTCCTCAGCAATTGACTACCAAGGAACCTGCAGTGTTAATTGGCAAAACAGCGAGCCATCAGTAGCGGAAAATGCATCAGTGGCAATATTTCACAATTTTAAAACCAAAATTGAATTCAAAAAGTTGCACCCAATGTTAGCCCAACTCAGAGTAAAGGTAAAGGTAAAGGTACCCCTGCCCGTACGGGCCAGTCTTGACAGACTCTGGGGTTGTGCGCCCATCTCACTCAAGAGGCCGGGGGCCAGCGCTGTCCGCAGACACTTCCGGGTCACGTGGCCAGCGTGACAAGCTGCATCTGGCGAGCCAGCGCAGCACACGGAACGCCGTTTACCTTCCCGCTAGTAAGCGGTCCCTATTTATCTACTTGCACCCGGGGGTGCTTTCGAACTGCTAGGTTGGCAGGCGCTGGGACCGAACAACGGGAGCGCACCCCGCCGCGGGGATTCGAACTGCCGACCTTTCGATCAGCAAGCCCTAGGCGCTGAGGCTTTTACCCACAGCGCCAGCCGCGTCCCCTCAACTCAGAGTAGACCCATTCAAACTTGTGGACATGCCTAACGTAGGTGCATTGATTTCAGAGGGATTTCTTTAAGTGGAACTTAGTTGGAGACAGCTCAAAGGAGCAGCGTTACATTCAGGGAACCCAAACACATTGAAAAAAGTAGGGATGATCACAATCAACACTGTCGGGTCCCCACTATATGCCCATAGCCTCAGAAAGAAATCTCATCATGTTCCTTGGGTTTCTTCCTACATAGGTATTCATAGGTATTGGGCCCTGGACCATAGATCTATTGTTCATAAAGTGGTTGTAACTTGGAGAGCAGAGCATCTGCTTCACATATAAAAACTCCCTGGTTCACTTATAAAAGGTTCCTTTGCATCTCCAGACAGGGCTGGGAGAGACCCCTCCCTGAAACCTTGGAGAGCCTCTGCCAGTCAGTATAGGCAGTGCTGAGCTGGGTGGACCAATGGCTCTGACTCGGAATGAGACAGGTTCCTCTGTTCCTATGTAAAGTAATCTGAAATGGCAACTATTACTTTGTCCTGCAGCATAGAATTCCGGACATGAAAGAGTGAAATAGCTCTCAAGGAGGGCATGGAGCAGGAACACTGGCTGTAGTCTGGATGATTTATTATTATTGTTGTTGTTGCTGCTGTTACTAATTTCATTTCTATACCGCTTTATTTATTTATTTATTTTTAAAAAATCTCAAAAGTGTTTTGCAGCCTCCCTTAAAACATCAAATAAAACAATCCAGAATACGCAAAACATGACTGAAGAAAGTCAGATATGAAGTATACATTCAAAGCAAAGCATTATCTTAAAGATTTCAAAAGAAAACGTTACTAAAGGACGTAAAATATATAATGCACATTTAAGGTAAAGGTAAAGGTACCCCTGCCCGTACGGGCCAGTCTTGACAGACTCTAGGGTTGTGCGCCCATCTCACTTAAGAGGCCGGGGGCCAGCGCTGTCCGCAGACACTTCCGGGTCACGTGGCC